TATTTTTTATTGACTTCCATAGAGTCCTCTGTTCTCCTATTCTTTCCAATACCTCTTAATTTCTAACCTTTTCTACCCACGTTATCCTCATCATCTGCCTATAACACCACATTTCGAACGCTTCTAACCTTTCCTTTCCGCCGCGCCCACTGTCCATGTTTCGCACCCGTACAATGCCGCGCTCCAAACATACACCTTTAACAACCTTTTTCGAATTTCTAAATTAATCATTCGCGAGCAGTGAAGTGACTTATTTTTCTATCCTCTGTTTTATATCCCTACCAAGGTCTTTAAGGAATATTAAATAACTATTAAATTACAAGATAAAAGTTATTAGCTACCTACGATTTTATATTTCTCTAGTTATTGGAAATTTAGAAAAATACAACGTAGGCTGGTATATGAAGTTGAAAGAATAATAAGTCTGGAATTATAAATTTTAAAAAATAACATGAAACTGTTTTATTGTGAACAAATTTCAAAGTATCTAGAATATATGGTAGTAACGTGTACTATTCCAAAAATTCTTATATCTTTCGTATTCACGGAAGAGAAATGAAGTTTCTACTTCTGCCTCATCATAAAGTAAGCTCGAGCGACCGAATATTGTAGTTCTGTCTCGACGGGCAAAGCCACGAAAATTAGCTATGATTAATATTTGTATATAATTTTATTCCTAATTTTTATTGTAGGTACTCAACATAATTTTAATTTCAGAAAAAATTATTTACTCGAATAAAAATTTAAAAAAATATATAAAAAATTACTTACAGTTTTTTTCAACGCATTATCCGATCCATTAACTGTCTTTTTCCAGAAAATCATTAAAAATATACTATAATTCATTAACGCTGTGCTTCTAAAAGTAACCTTTAATTCAAAGTTATCTAATTAGCAAGAGGCAGAATTCAATTACGTATGTATATAGTGAACAATGAAGGCTATTGAGGTGATACTTTTCCAAATGTGTTCTGTGTTAGTGTACTGTGTACTGTATCTGTGTCAGTAATAAACTGGTATTTCCAAGGTATCCGATTATGTCTCTCCATGTGTATTTTGCCTATATTGCTTTTTTGAAAGTTTTTGTCGACAATACAATTTTAAAATGAACAGCTACATTCATTCCTTGGTCTTATTAGATTAATATATATACGCGAGTCTTTCTCAACCGTACGATAGTATAGTTCAGATGTTTAAAATTGACAGAAATACTAACCAGACTAGAGCGATTGCTAACAGAATGCCTACTTTTACTTAGGACAGGCGTTATAGGGAATATCGTAAACATAGAAAAGAGATGTCAGGTAGGAATTGCAACGGACATTAATAAAGAAAAGGGAATAATATTACACCAATTGATGTGTAACAGAAGGAAATGAGGACAAGCAAAATTTGAGCATGTTACCAGCGTCGGATTTTAAAGAAAGTTCAACGTTCTCAGGAATTTAGGAAGGCAAGACGCTTATTTAAAGATATAATTCCAACCAACCAATTATAAAGTCAACCCTGATCTTTTGGGTCATCATAGTCAACCTCTAACCGCCCACCGCTTACTATTATTCTATTATTCGGTTATCTTTTTGAGTGAAACTTCTTTAGGCACGGTAAGGTAAGTTCGTTTCATGCGAGTTGCTATGTAACGAAATCATGCAACGGATGTCCCCCTCTACTCGGCCACGTAGTCGAGTTCGTAGTGGGGATCGCTTCAATGCGACGTTCGTTACAAGCAACTCCGACATGTATAGTGTAAAATTTAAATTTATAATGTACAAATAACACCATTAAACCCAATTCCTTAACCCCTATCCTATGTTTGTGTGTTTGAAGAAGTTTTACTTTAGTAGCGTGTTGTGTAATTACACGTTGTATTTTTTTTTTACTGTGTCTGTACTCTTTATGAAGCATTTCCTAATTTAATAAGGACATGTTTAAAACGCAGCAAAAGATTACAGTCCCAAGTGGAAACAAGACAGAAGATTCGTCTATTCTCACAGATAATTTTTGCGGACTTGGGTAATTTTAATCGTCCCGACTATAATACATTTAAACACATTGTACATTAAATGTAGTAAAACATACATTTTATACAGCAAGGCAAGGAGCATACGCACGATACAATAAAAATAACTGTTGCAATTTTTCTTTTATATATCGCCACACTTGCAAACCAAGACGACATTACTTTAAACATTATTTCGTTAGTTATTTTAAAAACAAAAAGAATAATATGCAACTGCAACAAAAATACTACACAACCCTACAGATACATGAATAGTTTCTCAAGGATTCTGATTCCATCCTTTAGGAAGTACCCATTCAAGGATATATATTCCAGTGATGTACGTAATAAAGTAATCCGAAATTTAAGTTAGGACTTAGGACCCTTTCAGTATAAACTAAAAAATTTGTTCTTTATGGACCTTAAATGATATTAACTATTTCCCACGGAAACTAATTAAAGTTCTTTACTAAATGTTCCCGTTGCGTCGCTACGTAAATCTCACTCAATCACTTCACTCAAAACTTTTACTCGATTTTTAAATTTTGTGCACATACAGACACATGCACCATCCAGAACTATGCATTTTTCGCGCAAAAATTTCACGATAATACATGGACCGTATGACCACTCATACCGCACTCTTTTTTAATAAACGTAGAATGACGAGACCTTTAATTTGATAAATGGTACACGTATCCGCGATCTATGAAACCACTCCTTCCATATTATTATTGAAAACAACACATTTATATACTCGTTCCCGAAAATTGGCGTAAAAAATACTGAAATATCACTCACCGAAAGTCTCGGCTTCCCCAAGATCCCGGGCTTGTACCTGCTCCTTTTTTCCGGAGTCGGAGGTATGAGAACAACGAGCTGATCCTGGTCTTTGGAACTACCAGGTCGACTGGGTGATCGCGAATTCGTCGTGGTCGAAGAGCCCGACGTTGTTGGCGCTCTTGGAGGATGAAGATTGTTGCAATGGATGTTGGTGGCATTTTCGCCGAAACTTATATTGTTCGTATTGTTCACTTGAACCAAAAGACTACACGTTTGCGACGCGATTTGAAAAAGACCATCCTGGAGATTACGGTGATGCTTCGGGGAATGCTTCCCGAAATAGTCCCAAAAGTGATGGGGCATCGTAAACTTCGACCATCACCAACTGAAAAGAAAAAACATCTCTGCAAAACGAGAATGACAACAAACGTTAATTTAGTGCTTAATTTATTTCATACGCAAAAAATAATTTACCTGTTAAAAGTCACTCTAAGTGTAGGAGTACCTTATATAAATCTGTGTTCACTACGGAGCTGTTTGTAATTTTTACGTATTACACACTATAAAGAAACTCTTTATAGTTTTTTATAATTTTTGAATTCGTTTTCGAATCCCTCGCGTTTTCTCGGCTGACAATTGTGAGTGACGAAGCGCGCAAGACGCAGTTCGCAACGTCGGGTAAAATTCAAAATGCGTCTGGCGCAAACAATCACCTTGCGGGCCAAAAACATGACTGAACAAACGCACGGGCTAAAATGGGGCAAACTCACCACTGGACAGGCAATAACGTACTAGAAATGTAAAGAAAAAGGAAACAACAACAACTATCGATCCGGAACGTTCCTTCATTATTGCATGAAAACACGCTACCTTTCTTTTAATCCATACTCAAGCCAGGTGTCGAAAGGGAAGTTTTGAAATGGAGGTTTTATAGGTACAAGTTGTTACACGGGTAGAATGCCAAATTATAGGTGAATTTGATAAAATGTTTAAAAAACATTTGAAAACATAAACATCCGAATGAAAGCTTGTCTATTATTACTCATTCATCATATGCACGAATTTCAAAATTGTGACAATAAAAAAAAAATTCAGCCTCACTTTTTTAATATCAATTACAAAACTCACTTGTAGTAGGAACGTGTGAGTATGAGAAAGTAACTGACTAGTCAAATATATAGAAAGGAAATAAATGATAAATGATTGAAAAGATATGAAAAAAATAGTGAATGATTGCCTAATAATAAAGCAAATAAGAGAGGGTAAAAGAAATAAGAAATATAGTGGAATATAAGGTCTTTGGAGAAAAAAAAAACGAATATAAAAGAGCTTTGAGAAAGTGGAGAATTAATGAATGTGAAACGGAAGTACAGGGAATACAGGGAGCATATTAAAAAAGGAAAAGAATATAGTTATGATTTGATAAGGAAATTTAAACTGGCTAAAAGGGCGATAAAATTTTGGAAGATTTGAATGCCTACAAAATGTAGAAATACTTAAAGAACTCTAAAAAAGAATACATACGCCGTTACCATGAAAAAAGGCAACTATGGACAGGATGGAATACCGGGTGAGACGTGGATACACTTATATACAGAATATAACATGGGAAAATTTGTAGGAATAAACAAATACCAAGTGAGTAGAAACGTAAGCTGATAGTGTCAAAATACATATAAAAGAGATGGAACAGAAATGTGAAAGGATGAACCACAATAAGATACATAAAGAAATAATAAGTAATAAATTAGAAGACGAGAATATATTCAGCGAAACACAATTTGGATTTAGGATGGGGCGAACGATAAATACATTTTTTCATTAAAAAATGTGATACGAATGAATACAAAAATTAAAAAGAAACTTAATTATGGTCTAAAAAGTGGCGTATGATTCAGTTGACAGGGGGGAATTGCTAAATATGTTAACAGTAAACAAAAATTTACAGGTGTATGTAATAATACACCTAATTTTTTCAAAAGTGAAATTGAACCGAAAATTTTTAGATCATATCCCTTTAGTAATCTAAAACAAAAGTTACTTTTCGTAACTGCAATATTTTTTAACTACAAAAACCGAAAAGAATAGAAGTTTAATTAATACCATATATAACTGATTTTTATTTTCTTACCATATTAGTACTGCTTGTTTCACACACCATTGTATTTTAATTACTTAACTTCCCATATAAATAATATACAGGCGAAGATAATTTATTAAAATGGCCCCAATTATGGAGTGTAAAATGTAGCCAACCTTCAACATACAAATAGCACTGCATACATTTAGGCAAAGTTGGACTGGCTGAATTTACTTAACAGCTCAATATCTAAACTTACGTCAACAGAAAGATTGACAACTAATGCAACTAACCTTAAAAAATTTAAATAAACAATTCAATGTTTCTGCCAAACATTATACAATAATTTAGTCAAAAAATGGCTTATAAACACGTTCAGCGACTATTTAATATTCAATCATTACAAAGACTTCAAGGAAGCTTTTTACGACCTCCTGTCGCTTCCAACTTTTTAAATATAGGTGGAAGATTCATCAATCATATTTCACAAGCTAAGATTGAAGAGAAGGTTCACAATGCATCGGTCCTCACAAAAATTGATGTAAAGTTCTTACTGATGTACACTTGCAAAGTATGTAATAACAGAAATAGCAATCACATTTCTAAAAAAGCCTACCATGAAGGAGTAGTCATAGTAACTTGTGAAGGATGTAATAATCACCACCTTATTGCTGACAATTTAAAATGGTTTACAGACTTAAATGGTAAAAAGAATATTGAAGAAATCTTGTCAGAAAAAGGAGAAACTGTACAAAAAATTGGATTAGGCGAATACTTAGTAAAAAACAAAGATTTCATTGAGGAGTCAGAAGTTAGAAAACTTACCGATTAAAAATGTATTTGTAGGGTAAATGTACTCATTGTTTTTACAATAAAATTTTATTTACATATTTCTGTCTTTCATATAAAAGTGTAAAATACAAAAATATGGCATTGCAGTAGCACCCACTTTAGCTAAGGGGAAAGATATTTAAAAAACAAATGAAGCAATTCTAAAAATGCTACATAATGCTCAAGAATAATAAGAACACTTTCACAATATGTTATAATTTTTAATTTTTGGATATTCAACTTTTTAATAATTCTTGAAAAAATGAGATCATTGGTTCCAAAATGTTATTTTTAAAAACTACTCTGTCCCCTTGTGTCAAAAAAAAAAAACAGATTTACATTCAGAGATAAACTGTACAATTGATTAAAATGGCACTACTCTGGTCAAAAACAATTTTACTTATTAACTTCTTTACTTTCTTTGGTCCGAAGTACTAAAGAAAATAATACTTGCAATAAAACATTTGACTCATCACATACTTTAAAACAACTATCATATCAACAATAAAAAGTATATATATTTATAATGGTTGCAAATTAAAAACTTGAAAAAAACTTAACTGATCACCGGAATATTTTATCAGTCTATTTGGACGGCACAATAATTAAATTAATTTCACGATCAGTCTTTAAAATCCAAATTTACAAAAAAGTGTTTAGAACTTCAAACAAGCAAGTTTCTAATATGCAACCTAAAGAAAGAAGAAGCAGTAAAAGAAACAGATTTAAATAACACTTCAGCGCAGATAACTATTTCTTTTTGTTTGAATATTTAGAATTAACTGATATGGCCCCAATTTGCCTAAATTTAAGTATATGTATATATATATATATTTATATATAAAAGAAAGAACAGTTTCTATCTCGCATTAAATTAAAAATGTATGCTTATTCCTTAGCAATTATAGTAATAAGGACAACTTCATATTGTAATTGCATCATATTATTCTTCTAAATCACCCCCATAATTCTAAAGAAATCATACTAAACTTGATTGGTTAAATTAAAAAGGATAGCAATATTTTGCTCTGATCATGGCAAGGCGACAATATCTGTTTGTGAAATTGTTTCATCATTCTTCAAAAACTTTCAACACAAAAATGAAATTAAAACGAAAGTCTAAAAAAACGTGATTTTCAATTCTGCCGGCAGAATTTTTTATATGTTTAAATAGAGCAATTTTATGAAAATCGGCAATGATTTCTTTGTCAAAACTAACTTGTGACTAATGCGGAGGATTTTTAAGTTTAGAGCGATAGAAAAGGAAAATACGTTTTTATAAGTTTGAGCATTAGATTTTTTAGTTTCAAAAACAATTAGGTAAAACCTGACTAGACCTGTTTTGGTTTACTAATAATCGCGTAAGGATCGTCGTTGTGAAACTGGTGATCGACAGGGGGTTCTTTCGGCGGTTTCCGAATTAATGCGTAACCTAAATGAGAATCGTCTGCTATTCTCACACTCTCTATGATCGGTGGTATAACTTCGTCGTAATCATCACTTGTGTTTTTATTATTTTGTGGATTACTATGATTCACTTGAGTGACAGCTGTAAGCTGTTTATATCCCGATTTTGAGACGTTAAGTTTACTGCAAGAACCAAAGAAGTTCAATCTATCATAACTATCCCCGTTTTCGTTCAAGTCTGCTGGACTTTCCTGGATAATTTTAGATGCTTTTGGCAGTGTTTGAGGCTCCATTTGTATTTCGGCTTTAGGACGAATCTTGGGAACGCATTCTACAAGATCATCACAATCATTTACTACTTCAACATGTGTAACGTCGTCAGTTCCTAATGTTTTCCATGCATCAGAACGATATTCCACTTTATCATAATTATCAATTGGTTCATAGTCTTCAAGTTTTTTTGACAGAGATGACTCAATATTTTGAATTGGTTTACGGGGTTTAAGGGATTTAATATGTGTAAAACCAGTAAAACTGCGATTAGATTTAGACTCTGAGCTCATCTCAATGAAAGAATTCAAGGACTTGTTAGTGGAATCTATTTCTCGAATACTAGTTGAAGTAGTTGGAGAAGGTGGCAAAGGACTTCTGGAACGAGCCTCCATACTTAAAGCAGCATGAAACTGATGATCCACACAATCCAAAAGAGAAGGTGATGATTCCCCACTGAGAAGCTTCTTCATTGATTTCATTTTTGTTGCAACACATCTAGAATATTTCATTGTATATTCAGCTTCTAATACTAACTTTATTATAAGCTGCACATAAGTATTGTGCGCATGTATCTACTTATTTGTACCATTATTAATATCCTGCATACTGTACAAGTACCTTTTACCTAACCCTACCCAACTGCCTTTCTTTGAAAATATAATGAAAACTTCTTTTTTAAAAAAGTAATAATATCAATTAAGCATCAAGAATATTATTGGAATATATAAACGAATTAATAAAGTAGGAGAGATAATTTTTGGTCAATGTATAAGCACACACCTGAAAATTTCCTGTTGATTGGAATGTAATAAATGAAATGTCCCTTCTCCAGACTCACATTTTCTTCCAGCTTCGAAAGTAAATTTTCCACTTCGATATCCATATCGCCGTATATATCGATATGGCCAAGTGAAAAGAAGTTTGTCATCATCTATGTTCCTTAACTGTATTGCAGTCGAGGTTAAGACTAACATATATGGCTTTGGCTCTAAATTACATCTTTGTGAAGCCTCTGATGGATAAAGAGTTATATGAAAAATACCCTCGCCAGAAGAGCAATACAGGTCATTGTCTTCTTCAATACTACTTATTTTGGATACATCATCTCTAAATGCAACTGATTGAAGTGCCACAAGCCATTCTCTCAACGAAGCATGTGTAGTTGTTCCAAAATCATAAGTAGCAGTTTTTGTAATGATTGTTATAAATGTTGGACTTTTCTGAACAATTTTTACGCAATTTTCCAATGTAATAATCCTAGTGGAGCAATTTTTTGATGCAGTAGCATCATCAACAGTGTCATATATTTCTAACCTCTCTATTCCAAATTTACTTGCTTTATACAGTACACAGAATTTTTGTTGCCATGATTTCTAGAAATTTTATCTTGTTAGATATTAATATTTCAAATGCAAGGTGAATTAACCTTTATTAACAGCTTTCCTTGTGGAGGAAGTAAAAGGATTCCAGAAAATACAGGTAAATCTTGATCCATGATTGTAGCCTACATTTTATACTGTCTTATGCAGAATTCTGCTTTCATATTTCATATAAAACCTAACTAATCAAGTACACCATCACTAATTTTTAATTTGCTATAAGAAATATAAATAATCTCCGACACAAATTATTAGACGAATTCTGATTATTTTTGCTTTTTTGTCAATGTTGTCCATAGATTATATTAGATGTTGTCAATGTCCATAGATTATTGTCATTCCCAACTACCAACCATAGTTTTCAATACGGTCAATCTATGATTTTTAGGAGTTTTCAATTTAAAACCATAGACTACATCTACATGCAAAGAGATTACAGCCATAGATCAGATAAGTTTTTATTATTCGATCAAAACATCAGTTTTTATTGTTCTTTGTGCAATTTTTTGAATCATACATGGATATTACAATTTCAAAAAAAATTTATATCAGTATTCACAAATACGTAATTAATTAATGTGGCAGTACGAATGAATACATCTCATCTAATATTGACATTTCATCTATGACTATAGTCGTTATACATACAGGTTATGTTTACTTTTTAGCTTGGTAGCCGGGTAAAAACCTTATTTTTATTTAGTTTTGGTTGTAAAATGGCCCAAATACACTGTGTTCCTGAAGAAAATGACAATACTTTACTACCCACTTTAGCGGAAACTCATTTTGAAGCAAGTAATCTGTTGAAAAATGGAATTTTAGTCGAGACCAGCAAAGGGTAGGTGTGTAATTAAATTTTCAAAATAGAAGTTTTACATGTTTAATGCTTTAGACTAGTCTGCATGTCGTTAAATGATGCTCTTTCTTCCAACTTAAACTTGTCTGCTGAAGATTTGCAAGAGTTGGCCACTCAACTGATATTACAAGAAAGTTCACGCAAAGATAGTTCTGATATATCTGATACTTCTTTACAAATCAATTCCGATATTTGTTCCACGGATACAACGGCTGATAGTGACGACCCTACTAGTGAAAGCAGTGACAATTTAGGAGAGAAATCTCAAAATTTATATAAACCATTAGATGTCCAAACAGATGAAATTGCAGTTGTACCATCTGTTCCAGGATATAAATATATTGTTCAACCTAGTACTTCATTAGATTCTGATACAAATATTACTGATAATGCTAATAAATTGATGGTAAATTGTATAAGTAAAATTAGAAATGACAGCCTACACAAAAACGTACCTAAATTATTTGACCAAAAACCTGTTTTGATAAGTGAAAATACTGATTCCCCTAAGCTGCCAGTTAAAAGAAAAGGAGGTTGGCCTAAAGGACGTAAGCGAAAACCAGAAGTACTGCATTTACCACCTAAAGCTCCTGCAACTGGCTATACACTTTATTTAAATGAAATGAGAAAATCATTTAAAGACAGCTCTTTAGCTTTTTATGAAATAACAAAAATTCTTGGAAATAAATGGTCCAGTTTGAGTTTAGAAGAGAAAAAGCCCTATCTAGACAGAGCTGAGGAGGAGAAAAAAAGATATAGAGAAGAACTACGAGTATACAGACAATCTGGAGCTTATCAACTGTATTTGGCTAAAAAGAGAAAAAAGAAAGTCCAAAACAATATTCTTTCTGAAAGTGATATGGATGCAACTGATGATTTTGATGTAAATAATGCAATGTTAAATCTTCCTATCTATAAATTGTTTAAATGTATTCTAATTTGCAGGATGAAGATAATGAAGAACTTTATTGTCGTACCTGTGACCAATGGTTTCACAGTCTGCATAACAAGAAAGAACATTTACAAGGAAGACAACATCTTCAAGCAGTTGCAGGTCATATGAGAGCTTTAGAAATTGATCATTCCCATGTTAATGAAGACGTTAACTGCACAGTTGTTACAAATATTGAACTGGATAACTTTGATAGTACCAGCAATGATTCTTCCTCTGATTCAGTAACTGAAGCGATGGCAAATCTAGTATCTCTGATTTCAAGTATGTATTATACTTCATGCTTCCTTTTTGAAATAGTGCATAAATTTAATTTTCAGAACGCGATATGGAGTTAAAAGTTTTAAAACAAACACTTTTGCATGAAAAACAAGCAAATCTTTCATTAAATCAACATCTAAATACTTTAAAACAGCAAGAGATCCAATTAAAAAATGAATTATCTACAGAAATTAAGAAACAAAAAGATTTGGAATCTCAAATTTTGTACTTTCTAGAAATGACATACATTAATGGTTAAAAAAATTTTTGATTTTATTTTTTGTTTTTTATTATATTTTTATGATAGTTTATTATTTATTGCAACTTTTGTAATATTTTTATATTGCAGGTTTAATTTATATACTGGCTATTTTGTATACCTACATATTTATCAAATTGTGTATATAAATATTAACTGGACTTTATAAAGTATAAAAGAAAATGATTTCCTAAATTTTATATATCGAACTTAATATAACAACTATTTAATCTTACTTTTACCAAAAATATATTTTAAAAACATTAATTCATAAAGTAGGTCCTAACATTGTAATCATGTCAACTGAGGTAATTAGGTTGTTCTGTGATAATGAAAATTTAAAAACCGCAGTCAACATGTGTGATCTAACACAAACACACTCGTCTACGTATGTTTATTATATAATATTACTGTAAAAATTAAACTATTAAGTTTTTCTATTAAGGGGGCACGTTTCGTTCAAAATATGAATGTGTAAGCCCCTAAAAATGTGATAAATTTTAAAAAGAAAAAATAAAAAGTTAAACAGTTGTTCGATTTTCTATTACACAACCAACAGAATGAATTTTAAAAATGATTATTTCCTTTATGTATTTTTCTGCATTTTCGATTTCATTCAGAAGAACCGTTTATAAAATACGTTAAATTACCGTAGTGCTATTACAAAATACAAAAGACTGTAATTCGTTTTGAAAACAATGTACACATACGTATATATATATATGTGCTCTTGTAGTAGTTAATAGTAGTTTCATGTATAGCTGTATATAACAGAAGATAAAGCGATAAATTGCGGAAACATCCAATTGCGCCGGAAGTCTCCCACCTTTTAAATTTCATCCTGGTCTTTTAAAGCGTAACAGGTAAGTCTGCAGGTTTCCCCGACAGTGATTGGAAGCCTGCTTCCCTCTTTCATTTAATTGCGGTCGAAGAATAGAACGTCCTCATTGGTGTTTTTTTTATCTTTTAAGCGCAAACAATTTTGATACATAATTTAACTTGTGCAGGTGCTTAAATGTTAAAAGAGCAGTGACACTGACCGCGAAAAATACTAATTTGTTTGCAAAAGAAAAATCGAGCGTGCAAAACAAAAATGGAAATATTAAATGAGAATAATGTGAACAAATTTTAAGTCAATTTCTTACATTAAAAAGAAGTTCAAGAGAGTGCAATAACTAAGTTTAAAATATAAACTTTGGTGCATTATTTTAAGAACACTTGAATTAATGATAAGATACTTTATTAGTAACTAGATTTACATTTTAAATTTATTTCGAAAATGCAGGAAGAGTTAGAATTAGTGATGCGATGTATCGAAATAATAAGAATTCGCGAAATATCCTGTGAAAGTTGCGGAGCTTTGAGAAGAAGTTTTTCTAGAAGAAATCCTTACTATAAATCTATTTATCGTCCAAAAACAGGAGATACAGGTCGAAAACGAGACAAAGAATTACCCAACATCGAAGATTTACAGTCTCTTGTACTCGCGTCTCATAAAAACACTGGTCGAAGAAAAATTAGGTAAGTTGTAATAAAAATACGTTAAATTAAAAAATCCTTGAGACCAAGGAAACGGCTTATTATTTTAAAAAGAATTCTTGCAGAGGTTCAAAAAACTCAACTAGGCCAACAGTAAATATATCCATAATATTAATGTTATTGTCGGGAAACTAGTAATCCCTTTTCCAAAGTCTAAAAGAAATACGACTTTTTTAAATTCGTTACTTAAATTGCTCTTATTATCACCAAGTAATTGTATTATGCGTATTACACTTTTGACTTTCAATTAACGAAATTAAGCTTGATTGACCTTATTGCATGCAAAAACTCATCGGGCATGTACATGAATTTTAGGGATGTAATAGCTAATTTAATTTAAAATCAAAGTAGGAAAAAGACGTTTAATTAACTGAATAATTAATTATAGATAATTAGTTACAATAAACTTTGGGGAGACATATGAATACGTATTTCCAATTGATGTTCCAATTTCATTTGATTACATTTTAGTAAAAACAATTCATCCCTTAATATTTTTTTTTTCTAATAAGAAATATAAATAAGCAATTTTAGATATTTTCTGTCTTATTTTGTAATTATTATTACCAATCTATGAAATTTATTTTGCTTAATTTTTTAACAACAATTACCTCTTATTAAATGAAAACTAAGAGAGAAAATTATTTTAGAGAAATCCAAAACTGCCAAAAAAAGTTTCTACGGAAGACACTTCGTCAATTTCTATATAAGAAGAAATCAACCCCTTGGATTAAAAGATGGAGAAATAGAAAAGTAAACCCTGCCCAACCACAGTAAGTCTCAATAAATACAGATCAATACATTATCATACAGACAGAATAACAAATGATAGATAATTTAATTAATGCTTAAAATGAAAATTTTATATTTTTTCCACTTCAAGAAGTACATACAGTATATTCTCTTGGAAATTCAATAATTGTTCTAAAAGCGTCTCTTTATGTGTATGCATTGTTTTTTCATGCAAATTTAATTGTCTAATACAATTACAGTTATTCGACATACGCATGTCACAATTATGTTAACTATTCCGTTAGATATGATAGAAAACTTCGTGTTTTGTCGAAACAAGTGTATTCGAATATTTCATGCTCATTCAATTACAATGAGGTTTCTCACGTTTTTTTTTTGTTTCTCGAGCGCATCATGTTCGTCATACGTTGCGTAAATTTAATCGAAAAACACAAAGAAAACACAAGTGCAATGACTTCAGAGGTTGCGGTCGTGTAATTTCAGCTTTGTTCATCTTCGCATGGCTGAACTTCACATGAGTATCACGAATCCAGGAGCTTACTGGAAGATGAGACAAACTATGTCCGTTCTAATAAAAACTTTTTGGCGCGGAACTATCCTAACTGCAATCGACATACGTAACACTTATTACAGATTATTTTTAACTTTTTGCGTACCTCATAAAAGAGAAATCCTCTTAGGTCCATTTCAACGTTTATTTGTTAAAAATCTAATTAAGCAGCGATTACTACCCTCAACTTCTTAATTAGCAGAAGCGCAACAAAGTGAGGTGTCCGGGGTATCCGGACAGCCCCTAGAGTTCAATGGACACAATGGGAGCTAACAGATGATATACCTAAATTAGCACAATGACTTTTGGTAGAATTATGATACAGGCTAAAGGGCCGTTGTTGGTCTAAATCATCTATTGGGTCCAGACGTTTCTTCTTCGGCAACTGCTGCTGAGTTCTTCAGTGGTACCAGAACTCTCTCGTCACTGAGTTGCTGGTGAGACGTCGAGGTACTGTCTTCGTCCACGCTATCAAAGCAAAACCACTGAAGATGTCAATCGCAGTTGCAGACGAAACACTTCATTTAGACCACGACCCTTTAGTCCAAATCATACTTTTATCATGGATTTCGACCGTGAACGACTGTGTGCTTATGATTTCTTTTATTAAAAAAATAACCAAGTCATGCGCTTGCTTTATATAAACAATTAGCAAAATAGGTGAGATTAGAACAGCACAGCTAATGTGTGAAACCCAGGATATCGAAAGGCTTGCTTATTATTTTTAAATAGCTCGTTTGGCCTGTTAATTTTTAAAATATATATCTACATATAACCCGGCCCTCAACTCTCGGAGGTTTTGGCCCTTGATAAATCGTACCAGTACAATTCTAATAATTAAAATGGCGTATAACTGATTTCCAAATTCACCAATGTAACGTCCAAGAGCTCTTTAGGTGCATACTCAACTTTAATCGATTTGAAGTAGAACGTTTTTATCGTTGACCTCATCCATCAATCTCAGTACAAATTACGGATTCTTTTTACGTGAACTACAACCTGATACAATGTAACATAAACGCTCATTTACAATGAAATGGCTTAAATGTTGTTTTCCGTCGTGTATAAGGAAATTAAACAGAATAGTACCCCTTCGTCTACCAAAGAGGTATGAAATGCGCAAGTTGAACAGAAAAATGAAAATGTTTAGATGCATGTTTTGGCAAATTATCAATATCGCTTGCTTCTGGATAGACAACATTTAGTCGCTAATAGTAACATTTATTATAGCTATAAATACGCATGTGTTTGTACTCAATTCGTAGATATCGATTTGTTAGAATAATACTCCAGTATGACAATATCAATCAACAAGTGGATTGACCTTAATTTTCATGTACAATTATCGTTCCAGTTGCAAATATTAATACCTAAGACAATGAAGTTAAAACAGTGTCTAACGTTTGATGCACAATTTTACCATTACATGTTTAAAGGCTAAATAATAATAAGCTCAAAGCTTACGGAGTTCGTTTTCTTGCTACGAGACAACGTTCATTCGAATCAAATTTTAAGATTGTAGGCTTGTCTATGATTGTAAGTCAACGAGAAGTTTATTTTAGTATGCATAAAAATGTGAAAACAATCTCAAATATGTGATCTACTTGCTCCTTGAGTATGAGAGAATGAGAGTATCTACTGAGTGCCTACTTTCAAAAATAGGAGTCTCCGTATGTGTATAATAGCAGACTTGAGTCGACCTAACTTCTCGAAAGAAAAAAAAAACTTTTGGGTGTTTCATTCCCACCAGCCAGTAATGCTGGTGGGTGGGCAGTCCCTCCGGACTATGCCGGAAGGTAGGGCGGAAGGCCCTCTTCAGCCTGCTTTCAGGAATCGTGGGAATGGGTGGGTGGTGGTTCGGGTGAGAAAGATGAGACGGACGAAATGAAGACAGAAGAGAATGAAAGATTATCTGTGGAATATTACTGCCTCAGCATTTGCCTGGGTGATCCAAGGAAACCACAGAAAAACTTGGAAAGATGGGTGTATATGTTTATGCGCGAATTTAATATTACGGTTATTCCCATTTTTTAAAGGTAAGCACTCAATAGAGCAAGTAAATACTCTCATTTAAGCAAACAAAACCTGAGTCAGTAATCTGGAAAAGACAAATTCCACTCACATTTTTATGCATTTCGAGAGGTACGGCTCCTTTAAAAATGTTCATGTACAATGGTACGTTAAAGTCAGTTTTTTGCACATCAACACTTGAAGTTTAGCCGAAAGTGCATAATCTAATGGATTGAGATTAGGGCTGCCTCTCGACCACTCACTAGGAAGGATGAGTGCTGGAACAATGCGCTCCGAGCATCGTTGATTGAGCTTTGCTTTGTGAGCTGACAATGAGTTTTGCTGGAAAATCCAACATCTATCCTTCTGAAACGCATTTCAGGGGCAGGTGTCAGATATTGGAGCAAGCTCAGGCAGCAAAACTCAATCAAGTATGTTTGGCTTTCATCCCACTATTAATGAGTGATTTCATGCACATCCCCTATGAATGGCAATACTATAAGCATTGTAAATGAGTAGGAAATTAAAGTTATAAAAAATTTTGAAAACTCGTCAAAGATAAGTTTTATTGCCAGTTCAGATAACTCATGGAATTAGTCATAAAGTTAATTGCTTTGTAATTGTTTTCTGCTAATCTTGACAAACAAATTTATACAGAACAACTGCTATAAATGTTATAGGTACTATTAAGATCTCATAAATATTTGCGTTAACCTCCGCTACATTAAAATAAAAATAAAAGAAATGTCGCATTGTTTTTCGCAACTTCTCCTTCAGTAAAGTACTGAAAGGTGGGAACTTTTGTGAAGGACTGTATAATAAAGTACCAATATAAATCTAAAGGGGCTGGTAGTACTTAAAATTCCTCCGATACCGCATTTCTTACGCTCATGTTAATTACAAAAGAATAATCATTTAATCGCACAGAATCATCGCTATTTTAAGGAGTACTAATCTTTACAAACACTAGCAAACAAAACTGAAGGCAATTTCTCACATGTATATCTGTCTACATCAAATCACCGTGTGTTTTGAGTAATGCAAAACAATAAGAGCACAAACCCAGTTCACCTACAGGTTCTTCCAAAACTAGTCATGAAAAACCAACAGCAACTGTTCGCGTTATTTCATATTCAAACGCGGGGTTATTAGTCATAGGAAGTAAAACTTTACGCTTTTTATTATTATTATTATTATTTGTCTACACCGAGGTCTTCATGGTACATGGATATTATAATTAAATAGCAGACAAGTGAAAGTGGTGTGTGCCTCAAAATGGATACTGAGGAGTTTATGTGGAAGACAATTTACGAAAAGTTACAGAAACAACAATCCGTCGAACAACAGGAACATGACCAGAGGTAGGTCGTTAGGTGATGGTGAATGGTCATGCTCATCAAACAATAACGAATGTTAATGTCATAAATTATTAAACGTCACAGACGGTGTTGCTGGTTTATTGTTTCCAATCTATTTTTATATTATGTGTCTACTTACGCACAGCAACAAAAGTGCCTACCATGTATTATTTTTTCTTTGCTCATCCAATTTATTTAGAAGACTACTACTACATTGATTTTTTAATGTACCTTTATCAGAGCGTAACATACCGATAGGGTTGTAGGCTACACTTCTCAAAATATATTATTATAGAGCATATTTATAAACATTTACGCTTTTTGTACGCTTTCTGTAGTAAAAAGTTGCGCTCGACCTCAGGAGATCGGCCATGACCGGCATTAAGCGGCATCCTGTTCACGCGTAAAACTGATTCACATTAAAGCAGACATGCGCAGAACTTTTCATTTCAAAAGAAATTACTTTTCTGATAAATAAATCAGTTAACTAACAGTATTAACTTTATTAATAATTAACAAAAATGCTGGAGAATGAAGCCACATACGCACATAATATCTACAGTTAGTATGATTCACTATTATTAACAAATGCTCCTGTTACATCCTAAATCCATTATACTTTTGACTAATAAAATTGTTATCACAACCAGTTACATATACTGGTTGTAATAACGTTTAATTCTTGCAATTTTCCTGTGTTGAAAATAGAAAGTTTGACTAGACTATTACTATAAAAATGACTATATTTTACTGTTTTTTTTTCCATTTTAAGGAATATAAGGACCATATATTATTGATTAAATAGAAGTAAAACAATCTTCTGTTCATTTTTTTACTTTTGAATCCGGGAGTGTAGTAACCATAGTAATAACGTAAGCAGAGTACGCTTATATTAATTCTCTTAGTTCCCAAATATCTACGGTTTCAGTCAACTCTGTGGGTAATGTCAAGTAACATTATGATCATTGTCAGTGGTTTATGTTATCAGCTGATATGTAGGAAATAAGCAATTGATGTTTATTAAATTGTCCTTAAACTTATTTAATATCCAATACGATTTAGTCAGATTAAGTTCACAGCAACCTTTTACAGTTTGCATTCACAATGTTAAGTTACTGCAGTAAAACAGTTATTTTAAGTTGCAAAAATTCAAATTTTAAAAATATACAATTAATAAATAAGCAAATTAGATTATATTCTGGAAGTACATTTGATGTGTTGAATCCAGTAAATGGCACAGTTGTGGGTACGGTGCCTGATATGACAATTGATGAAATAAAGGAAAAAGTTGAAAAAGCCTCTGATGCACATCATGAATGGAAACTAACAACAGCAAAGCATAGAGCTGGCTTACTTAGAAAATGGTTTAATTTGCTAGAACAAAATTCTGCAGATATTGCAAAGACCTTATCTAAAGAAGCGGGGAAGCCTTTTAACGAAGCAGTAGGTGAAGTGGCTTATGGAAATTCATTTGTTGAGTGGTCTTCAGAAGAAGCAAGAACAGTTCTGGGACAAATCATTCCAAGTCCTTACAAATCAAAGAAAATTTTAGTTGAAAAGCATCCTATTGGAGTTGTAGGTATTATAACTCCATGGAATTTTCCACATGCAATGATAACTAGAAAAGCAGGGGCAGCTTTAGCAGCAGGATGTACCTGTGTTATTAAGCCAGCTGCTGAAACACCTTTAACAGCAATAACACTAACACAGCTGGCACATGAAGCTGGAATTCCCGAAAACGTAATGAATGTAGTAACAGTAAATGTCAACAAAGCTAGCCAAGTTGGAACATTGTTCTGCACAAGTCCTTTGATTGCAGGAATTTCATTTACAGGCTCAACTGTTGTAGGGAAAATTCTCTACAGGCTTTGCGCAGACCATGTTAAACGCATATCATTAGAACTAGGAGGCAATGCTCCTTTTATAATTTTTGATTCAGCTGATATTGACAAGGCTGTTGAGGCCGCTTTGGTAGCCAAGTTTCGAAATTGCGGTCAAACTTGCGTGGCCGCTAACCGGTTTCTTGTCCAGAGTGGTATTTACGATAAGTTCGTCGCCGCATTGACAGAAAAAGTTAAAAAATTACGTATGGGAGATGTATCCCAACCAGATGTTCAACTAGGACCATTAATAAATAGTAAACAGTTTAATACCGTAACTAGATTCGTAGAGGACGCTATAAGCAAGGGAGCTAAAGTTCTACTAGGAGGGAAAGCTGCTACACATATAGGACAACTTTTTTATGAGCCCACAATTTTGGCAGATATTAAACCAGATATGAAAGTTTACAATGAAGAAATATTTGGACCGGTCGTTCCTCTTATTCAATTCAAGAAAGAAGAAGAAGCAATTAAAATAGCTAACTCTACAATGGCCGGATTAGCAGGTTATTTGTGTTCGAGCGACGTAAATCAGATTTTTCGAGTAAGCAAACTGCTAGAAACGGGAATGGTGGGTATCAACGAGGGTCTAATTTCAATGGCAGAAGCTCCCTTTGGTGGAATCAAGGATTCTGGAATAGGTCGCGAAGGTTCCATATATGGTATCGACGAATTCTTGTATGTTAAATATTACTGCTTAGGAGGCCTAGATTGAAAAAGCAATAACAATAATGATGAAGCGCCTAATTTTTTATGGTAATTTATATTTATCTGCAGGGTTTCTTAATCTGGGGTCCGTAATATGAGTGCCAGGAATTCATTGCTAGTCTCTATAACATTTATTAATGCAAAAACAATTGAACTAAATAAGGAACTAAAGCCCTAAATTCTACACAAAAACCTTTGAAAATATAAAACACATCTCGACATCTAAAATATTATCCATAATCAAATCCATTAGTTATATGAGTTATGGAGAGGGGGGGGGGTAGGAATCAGTAAATTTCATCAAAACTTATTTAAAGGGCGGGGGTCGTTGAAGTTTGTAACTGCAAAAAGGTTAAAAATCCTGATCTAAAATGTACAAAACTAGCCTGTTTGCACTCGGTTCCTTTTGTAAACTGTTCAATTTAGATTTAAATTACATGTTTGTAATATTTCTTTTTAATGTTTAAAAATCAAATGGCAAATAATTGTAAATGCAAAATATTTTATTGCTGCTTGTTGCTTATTGCCAAAAAATGCGCCTATATACCTGCAATTATATAAGCAAAGGTAAAACAAATGTCTTCCACTTTGTCTTCCAAGTAGTTATAAATAAGCGTAATTGTGTACACTTTGACTAATCTACTTATAATGTAGGCATTGTTATCATGTAAGGTCTATTTAAATGTTTTATGTGTCTCAAGTAATTTACAACATGAATATTATTCAGTTAAGATTTTAGTTGTGATGTTTTTACCAAATTGCAACACTATGTTATAGGTGTGTTTAAAATAGTGTGATATAAAAATATTGTATGTCTCAATGAAAAGATTAAAATGGATGAGGTATGTAGATTTTTAAAAATAGCAAAGATTTTATTTTCCTTGTTAGAAAAGAGTAAATGGAAGAGTTATATTGTATACATATATACAAATTGTTATTTGCTAATTTTTATTGTTTAACGATAATTAGGAAGAAATAAAAAGAAATATATCATTATGAGTATGAATTTTTAATTGGGAGTCTATATTTGAAAAATTAATTAAAATTTAAATTCAGTCATCTACAACGTTTTTTCGATACTCAAGGTATCGTCCTCGAGGATTTGGTATTTTATTTAATTTCTGTATGCATTTTGAAGTTATGTAAAATCACAGAAACTTAAATAAATTATTTTTCCTATTTAATATCATTTGAACAAACGTCAGTACATTGTGTTGACAACCGCTCATGCGCTGCTGTTCGGCTGGTTGCATATGATGCGGGATATGAATGTATTTATACATACAGGATGTTTTTAACAAAGTTGCATTGATAGCATCTTTTAAGATAAAAAATATTTAGAAGAAATCGAAAATATGCATTACCGTTTCACTACCTAATACTTTTGTAATAAGTAATAGTAATATTTTCCATTAACCATTAGGTACCTTTTTTTTAACTAACGAAGCATTTACAATTTACTAATTCTTTTTTGGTCACAAAAATATTGGTTGGTCCAAATCTTTTACAATACTCATTACAAATAAGGACGCAGCCAGCTTTTTTACCTGGCTAACAGCGGCCAAAACCGTCGTAAAATTTTTTATACAACTCAAAACGTCTTGGGTTCCGTAATGGTATTAGTAAATTAAGCACCTAGTCAGGAAAAGTAAAGAATATCTCAGACCACATTTTTTTTTCTCTCCTGGTGCGTACGCTATTTTTCACTAAATCTTGGTCAAGAAGTAGAACTTTCTTAGGCAAGTAATTTAGCAATCCTGTTCAATGAGAGGAATATCGCAAAGACTCTCGGCCTAAACGAAGGAATCTTTTGTACTGTCTTCCCCAATGATGATATTAATATTTGTTTTGACAGAAATTTCTTGTATAATTACCCGAGAATTTAATATTTAATAGATAGTTCGATAAAAGCTTATTACACAAAATCACAATCTTAAATTAAAAAATATCTCTATCCCTTTCCATACTATTCTATTTTTTTCCCTTCCCTTTTTTCCTCTCTTTTGCCCATCTTCCATTACCTTCGATTTCTCACTTTTTAGTTCCAACCCTCTTCTTAATAAGTATCTTTCTAGTCTTCAATCCCACCAAATTATCCACTACGTATATCATCAGCATATGAAATACTCCATATCTTTTTCCACTATAATTCCCTCTTCCCTTACTTTACTCATTTCAACTTCCAGATCGTTCATATATATATATATACATATTAAACAATTGTGCCCTTAGCTTGCATCCCTGCTTTCCTCCTCGATTCGTCCAAGATATTCCCCATTTTTTACTACTCACCCTTACTACTACCACTGTTTCCCTGTATACTTTCATTATTTTATCTACTAAACTCCCTTCTATCCCTACCTTTATTAACATATTTACTATTTCTTAGCTTATCACCCTATCATACGCTATATAATTTAATATTGGAAGCAACTTTTTAGTATTTTTTAGTACTTTCAAGTGAATTACAAATTACAATAAAATTTACAAAAGAACTGAAGTTTATCAAGAGCGACCTTTTGCTCAAAAGAGAAAAACCCCCGTACACCAATCAAGTCGGAAAAACCCACTGTCTTTCCGCTCTCATCGTGTGGCCGCGATGTGAAACTCAACACCAATCTACATTCACACGTATTTAGTATATATTTGACGCTTCTATTCTGCTGGTGATTTAGATCCATCTAATTATCTGTACAATCTCGGTGACTATATTATATGAGCTCGTGGACAAAACGGAATAGTTTAAATGCTAGTTCAACGGAAACATCAAATCGATATTTTATTCTTCGCCTTAGTTTTATAGATTGACCTCCTCCGTCGTGTGCTAATGCTAATAAATGAAGTTGCAGATAAATAGATACGTGTGATTGGTTGGTGGTGTAAAATGAGGGCAAAAGACGGGTAAATTAGATCTAAAAATTTAATAATGTTCTTGAAACCGATAAGCACTTAATAATTTAATGATATAAAATCAAAATAAAAAAATTTCATTATTATTTTTTATATGAAAATCGGCAACTTATGATTAGATTAAGAAAAAGAAGATTAAGTAATATATCGGTGTGTAGTTTAATGATAATTAAAAGCCTTAAATTTTTGAGATTCCTTTTATATTAAAGAAAATAATAAATAGCTTGAGAATTACAAGAGCATGAATTAAAAAAATAAACTAATGGAAATTTTTATACATTTCATACATTTCATACCACGAGTTTGAAAATGAAACTGAAAGTGCAAAAGTAGATTTGAAATTATGAATAAAATATTTCAACATTTTTCTGTAGAATTTAAAAGTCACTAAGTTTTTAAAGCAAGGGAGTATATATATGTATAGAATATTAGGGTTTACCCGCGGTTTCTCTGGCGTTGTTGTTCAAAATTACAAACATCATCAATGATCACATAAAACTGATTTTTCTATTACTTACAACGGTTTGTTTTTGGATAAAAAGTACCCTATGTCCTTTTCTGTATCTCTGACACTGTGTCTACAAAATTTGATGATTATCGGTTGAGAAGTTAAGGCGTGAAGTGGTAACAAACAAACAAACTCAGAATCGGATTTATAATATTAGAATAATTATGTTATTTTTGATTCCTAATGTTTAATTTCTTATTCCATAATAAATTTATGGATTTGTTAAGTAATATTAGAAGCTTCAAAATAATTTATATTGGTACGTCCCATTAATTATTGCTAGTTAAATCTATTCATACAGAAAATAAAAATTAGTTTTTAAAAAATAATTTTCGTGTTTCAGAATACAGCAGGTAGACGGTGGGTTCTTTGAAAGGTTCGGTTCGTTGTTGCGGGAAAGCGCAGAAATCGCCAAAGAACAAGAGCAAAAAGAGCAAATAGAATGTGCCGAACAAGCTGCTAAAGTAATTACAAAAATCGAAGAGGAAACTGAAGAAGATGAGGAGAAAAAGGTCAAGAGCGACGAGGAAAACGAAGAAGAAGAAATTGCTCCGTCCGATACTGAAGATAATAAAGCAGACTACATTGCTGTCGGATGGAATGTAAGTAACAAATTTATTTCTTGTTTTCTAAAACCAAAATTATTTGTTTTGCTACACACACGCTTTTTTAAATGAATAATAGCTAAATTATTATTTATACATCATTATATTGCGACAACAAACCAGAAATGTTTCCAGTCTTGAATCAAATAAGTGGTTACTTTGATGATATAAGAATAACTGTCAATTTGTAAGTTTGTTAGTATCTAATTTCAAATGGGTACAGTAGAAGGTCTACTAAAATTCAATAATAAGATTGTTAGTTAACGTTTTGAATATGTTAGTAACCCAAATAACTAAGTTTGAAATTATTATTAACTTATTTAAACAGAAATTATCTAAGATACTGCACTTTGCTCAGAACAAGTATACAACGTGTAGGTATATCTATTTTGCATAGGCCATTGTTGTTAGTTTGTAATCCAATTTTTTTTTTCTACGTATTGTAAAAAGAATTGAAAAATATGACCCTATTGCAATATTCAAACTAGGGCAATCCTGAGTGGTACATCTTTGTTCTAACCAATTGACTAATTGAGAAAATGTAATTAGATTCCAATCATATTGCGCGAGCAAGTCAATCTTGTTGCTTTGTACGTGAAAACATCAAGAAAACGAATTTTCCCAAAAATGAGATTGCTAGATGGATCATTCGCCTAATTGTAAATTTTATCGGAATGTAATACTCGCTTACAAACAAATGTATAAATATTGCTTGTGTAATAGTTTAGGATACGCTTTAAATTTAAAATTCAAACACATTAATATAAAAATTATTTTCGATAAATTCAAAATGGAAAATGATAAAACTATAATCCATTCTAATAATTAGTTGTTTTAAACTCGGAACTACAGCATCGTTATCATTTAATACAAATGTATGTTACATGCAATTTTTGATTTAAATATTGCAATTAAATAGTAGGCGTTCCATAATCTACGACATACGTGGCAAAGTCGAAAAGTTTCTGGCCTGAACTATAAAATGAAGGATAAATTTCGAACCACTATTATTATTTCTCAATATAGTCTCCCTTTATTTCAATACACTTTTCACAGCGCTTTACTAACATTTCCATACCCTTAAAAATAGTCTGAATTTTTCCCTCCTAGAATGTGACAAAACTGCTGTTTTCACTTCATCATAATTTTTAAATTTTTTTCCTTGCAAGTCAAGTTTTAGTTTTGAGAATAAATAAAATCAGTCAGGACTGTATGGTAGGTGGTCGAGCTCAATGAAACCACATTTTTTAATGGCAGTAATTTTATATTGTAAGGAAGCATAGTAATCGCCTGTTACTGTTGTGTAACGTCCTTTAAAATCCACTGGTAAATTTTCTTCAGAATCCCAAAGGATTGTAGCCTAATCGTTTTCTAAGATTGAGTAACATTTGTCTTTTTGGCCGCGGTAAGCTTGGATGACACCACTCCATCGATTCCCTTTTTTTAAAGGTTTATGATCAGGAACTATTGTTTCATCACCTCAAACAATTGAATCCAACAATTCTTTCTGTCGGTCTTCACAAAGGGATGAAAACTTGAGTACAGTATTTCAGTCGTTTTTGTTTTTGAACATCAAACAAATATTTTGAGGCCCACATTGCACTCACCTTATTCATACCGAAATGCTCATGTACTATTGTGAGCACTGCTGTTTCTTCCAGTACTGATTAAGGACATTTGAAGGTTTATCATCATCATAAGGTCGTCAGTCCTAAGACTGGTTGGACACGCACCTCAACTCTTTCCTATCCTGAGCGAATCTTCGTATTTCCCCAAAACTAGAACAACTCTCTGCTTTATATCCCTACTACTCCTTCCGTCCTGAGTTATCTGACTTCCTAGATACCTAAAATCAGCCACTTCTTCTAATCTATCGTCTCCTATCTTTATATTCGCTCTTTCCCTACTTTTTCTTCTCTTGCATACCAGTATTTTTGTTTTACTTTTATTTATTTTCATACAATACTGTTTTGTCAATACCGCTTCCATTTTATTTAGAGCTATCTCTGGCTCTTCCTTGTTAGATGCTACTGGTGCTATATTATTTACAAATCTAATATTTTGCCCGTGTATATTTATCCCTACAGTTGTATTGTCTTTAATGATGTTGATCACGTCTTCGATGTATAGATTAAAAAGTAGCGGTGACAATCTGCATCCCTGTCTGACTCCCTTCCTAATATTTACTGCTTTACGTTGCAGCTCTAGCTGTATAACTGCCTATCCCTTTTTATACAAACTAAGAATCACTCACTTGAAGGTTTATAATTGTAGGTATTTTAGATGATATTCAGGTATTATTAATTTTACTCGAAACTTTCAGGTAAGGTAAATTCAGCACATTTAACAAGTTTATTTATTTTAGCACCCTCTATTCCTTTCGTCTTTATTTGATTTTTACACTTTCGGAAATACCTATTGTTGTGCATAAACGAAATCGACCAGAGGAATGCAGACAATTCGTGATATTGCAATTGGGTTTTTTCTGATCATTAATTTGTAGCTGGCTCGTTGTCAGCCCTTTGTTGTATTCTTAGAACTTGTTGCTTGTTGATAGTTGCTCTCGATACCTTCTCGCCTACGACGACATTCAGAAATTTCGTTCTTTTTTCCACTACCATTCAATATGTCCATTACTATCCACCCTGGTTATTTGTTGTTCACATAGTTTGTAAGTTAGTGTGCAAGAAACCTTCTTATTAAAAACAACAAAATACAAATTCGCTACTAGTTTTATTTAGAAAACATATTTGATGTTTTTATTCGTAGTGACCTCGAATGATCGTCCTGGGCGCTGTTCATTTATTTATTAATTGTTTTTCTTCCCAAACGAAATTGCTTCGCCCTTTTTTTTTACGATGGAGTACTAAGGGGAAGAATGCCCATAGACTCCTTCCAGACATTGTTTGATTTCCGCTGGCGTCTCCCTTATTTCGTCAAAAATTTGAACACAGTTCTATACTCAATTTTATGCATTTCAAATTTTTAGTCGACAGTCTGACTTTATTATCTTTATCTTTGTAACTACATGAATAATTTAATAATTTTTGTTGTGAGTAGGTAGCGAAATGTATAGTAATTTAATGATATAAAAGTTTTGTATCTCTGATTCAAGTAATGTTGATATGCTAGAAACTTTTGGACCTTACTACGTATTTATCTCTGACGATGATTATAAATGATTAATGATATTAATAATTTCATTTATTCGTAGGATAAAGTTTTGATCGAACCTAATTAATAAAATTTTCCGACTAACAATAACTCCGGGAATTTCCCCTCTTCCCGATCCTTGTATAGATTAATGTTATTTAGGACTAATTTAGATAGACTGTTATTGAAAGCAATATGCAATTTTCCACGTCCTATAAATACTGCATCGCAGATCGCAGGAAGTGATTATCTGGTTTACTGACAAATGCGTCCTAATTAAACTGGAAAATCCTTGGCGTATTTTTTTAATTTAGGCAAGGGAATAACCTGCTTGACTGAAAGATGACATAATTGGCATCACAAGAAACTAAATTTTGAAGAAACCGTTTTAAACTGAATATATATTACAAAAAAAATATTTCCGAAATAGATACTAAAGTTTATTTGCTAGCAGTTCTCAATATGAATAACTACTTAATTACCTTAACTTTTTAGAGTTGTGAACTACTATTTTAATGAATAATACATATTTTGTAATCGACAAATACTGAAAGAGAGAAGAAAATGGTGATTTATAGTAGAAAGAACTATAAATTAATATTTCTGCAATCACTTACTGCGTTATCAGTAACCGGGTCAATATTAACACTTTTAAATACTTTGCGGCAACGTCAGACCCTATTTTTAACTGAAGATGATAATTAATTTACGAATAGCTAAAGCATGTGCTAAATATTATCAGTTTTGAAGTTTAGACACTTAGCATTCTTTAGAAATCTTCCAAAGTAGTTCACTGTTGAAAGCGTCTTAATCGGGAACGCAAAGTGGTAACAAATATTTTAAGCTAAACCTTAAAATATAAAACCGACACGATGGTTTCAAGCAAATTTATTTTTTGAATTTCAATAATGCAATAATTTCCCTATATGCAGGTATACTATTTAAATTTTGTCTATTACATTATCGTATTAGAGCAGTTTGGTCACATAAGTAAGAAAATATTAAATACTTAAATCAACCTGAATTTAAAATCAACGATAAAAAAATAATACGTAAATAGTTGTACAAAAGACTCTTTTGTCTTTTACTGTTTTTACAAAGTTACTAGTATTTTTCCTATTACATATTTATTAATGCTTTAGACAGTAATTCTGTGTTGTTATTGAGAAACCGGGGGAAACTGTTTTAACTAATTCCATATTTCAAGGAATGTGCGTGACGACGAAGCAATTAGCCTTTCCTAAACATAAATTACACATTAATTACAATTTAGAGAAAATTGCACAACCTATAGATGGTAATTATTATACTACGTACACTGAACATTCAGATAATTTCAATACATCTTTGTTCATGGTTGATATACATGTGCATATCCATAAAACGGTAAATGAATTTGTGAAGAAGGAACCAATGAGGGAAATGGAACTCAGTATCTTTTTTGAAACTTATATCATACTTATGGTATACGAATCGTTTAATTCGTTGGTCCGTCCAATAAAAACACAGAGGAAACATTAGAAATATAGAAAACCCAGATATTATGGTTTTATTCTATGCATGTATTCTCTATTTATTCCTCATAGTTTAGATATGAATGAGCAAAGTGTCCAGGCATTTATCATCATCAGTATCATAAGACTGGTTGAACACGCACCTCCACTCTTTCCTATCTTGAGCTTTTCCCTCAAACTAGAACAACCCACATCCTTAACTATTTGCGAACAGTAATTTAATCTAGGTCTACCTCTACCCCTCCTAACTCCCGTTTCTGCCTCTAATATGTCTCTGACTAGACCTTCATGCCTAAGAAGGTGTCCTACCAACCTATCTCGCCTATTATT